CATAGTGACATGCAGGCAGCCGCTCAGTAGTGAGAGGGGGGTAATCAGAGAGCCCAAAATGCACAGCAGCCACTGTGACAAAGCAGAAATATTACATTGACCAAAAGATGCTATTTTAGCTCCAATTGCTATGTACAAAAAGGTCTCATTTACAAACATATATTCATCTATGTATGAAAACAGTCTCGTCCCTGCAAACACTGCAAACTGAGAGTTGTGATATAGGGCTCTTGTCACAGAAAAGGAATCTGAGCCCCAAGATGAGAAAAAGACGCTTTAGCAATATCTCTCCCTTGGCAATAAGTTTAAATTTCATTATAAATTATGCAAAAGACAATTTCATCTCTAAATGAAATGTGTACCTTGATGGCAGTCATTCACATGGCAAATGGATGGTCTGAAATGACTAGAAATGCATATTATAGAGCTTCTTTTAATGTATATGTATATATATATATATATTTTTTTTTTTTTATTTAAGTACTGATGCACCAATAGCACCAAACTCTAGCTACATGTTTGGATTTGAGCTGGAGAATTGGATATGAGCGTAGCCATGGAAACAGCCCTGACATGGAAGCGTCAATCACTGCCTTAAAAGGTTGCATCTGCATGATTGATAAGCCTGGAGTGTGTACAAGGGAACAAAACAACGTCATTATTCAAAAAGTTTATCTGATCAAAATGAACCACTTTGGTGCTATTGTCCTTGTGTTTCGGTGTTGTGGCTAAATTTAATGTAGATTATTTTGTACTCTCAAACATGTTGGGTAATCGAGGACCACTTGCCGCCTTGTTTTCCTGAGATTCAGTTATTTTTTCTCTGTGGGTTGTAACTTGTTTATGTCATAACAACAGGACCTTTTTAGTCACAGTGCCAAAATTACCATATGTCTAAAAATAATCGTATTTGCCCATGAGTAATAAACGTACTGTAAAATGGATAAAAATGGCCCTTGTAAGGAAAGAGCAAAAGTAATGCAACAATGGCGAACATTTGTGCAAATACATTAACAAAATAATTAATTAAAAATTGTGTTTTGAGCTTCATATTGAACATTATAACATATATACATATTCAATATTATCACATATTATCTTTGAAATGTTGTTTTACTTAATAAAACAAATGCTCATATCTTATAAGTTGCTTTTATGTTATGTCATAAGTGGTAGTTTGTATTCTCTCTATGGAAGATTCACTATTTATGCAGTACGCAAGTTGAGCCTAATCATTATTTCTATGTTATTTCTGTTTCTATGTTGATCTTATGGCATAAAGTCTCTTCAAATTACAACACTGGTGCTTTTGCATAACTATTGACCTCTATATGAAAAAAATTAATCAATTCACCTTAATTATTTTGTGTTGACAGTGAAGACAAACAGTTATGTAATCTGTAAAAAGTACCTTTGGGTTTGTGAAGCAAGTTGGTCTTTATTATGGATGTTTTGTCCATCACCAAAACCCTGAAAAGCTGAAAATATATCACTTCATCTTTAAAAAAATAAAAATAAATCAAAAGTTTTTACTATTTGTGTTCATTTCTCAGATCTCCTCCATATTGTAGGTTCAGTATCATGGTACAAAAAGGAGCAGACATTTAGTGTATTTCTTAACCAATGGCCTAATGTATTTTCACAAGGATTCTGGGCTCTTGTCAGTGTCATATGCTGCTGAGAGGAAATATTAACTGTGTGAAAAACTGTGACAAAGCCCACACTATCAGAGCAGCACTCTAATCTTTTTTTTTTTTTCTCGATCCTAATGTGACATAATCACCTCACACTCTCCAGCCATCCCACTCCCATTACTTGGCGCTGATACCAAACAGTCTCCTATGGACATCTATTCAAAGCAATTATACATGACACTCTCAGGTTAACTGTTGTTACATATACTGTTCTTCTTTGTTCTGTTGTCATATATCTAAAGGTGCACTATAAAAAAAGTAAGTCGCCACCTGCTTCATGGAAATGTGATTGTTTTGCCTTAAATGTTCCAAAACATATCTCCATATAGACACCCAGGTGATGCAAACTGGTCAAGTTAATGGTTGGATCTGAAGAGGCGACATGTTTTTTTGGGGTTTTTTTTGCAGTTAAACAAATGCATTATAGAGAAGTAATAGTCCAATCAGGTTCATTTGGTCTTCCGATATTTTATGTTATTAGGTTCTTTGTTCAGACCAAGAGTTTGGTGCAAACATCATTGGGACAGGAAAACAAACACTGTCACTGGATTAAAGAGGCAATTGAAATACAGAAACGTGCCCACAGGACTATAAACTGGGACGAGGGGGCTTTTTTACTCTCATACACCTGGGATACTGTCCTGAGGAGGGCTGACTACAGATGGCGCTGTCGTCCTGCCTCCTCCGGTAGGAAGACAGTGCCAAAACCTGTTTAAATCAGCTGACCAAACACGTCACAGCAACATCACATGACCACTCTTAGGAAGACCACTAGTGAGCAGTCGACACTGTCAGATATGAAAACAAAGTCTTGGTCTGAAAAAAGAACCTAACAACATTATAGAGGAGTTTAATGCCATATACTTCAGAACATTCCCGGCAAACGAATAACATTTTCATGGAGAAAAGCAAGTAAAAACATAAAACTTTTCAATGCAGGGATTATTTTTGCAATTTTTTTTTTTTATCTCAAGACTGAGGAACCAGCAACATTCAACAACCATTTCACCCTATTAGGTTTCAGAGAGTAACTTCATTTGGACTATATTGATAAAGCAGAGCATTATCAGATATTTTATTTTTAAAATAATGCAACAGTGAACATTTTGGTACAGATTTGTCTATAAAATACTTACTTCAAGTCCTATTTAATTAGTCTTTTCATGTGTCTTTGTGTATGCTTTTGAGAAGAATATTGGGAGACAAAGCCAAACAGCCCACAGAGTGATACTTGGCAACGGAAATTGGTTTGAGTGGAGATAACCACAATTTTCAGTGTGCAAACTCAAGACAAGATTGAAACGGTTTTATTTGAAAAGAACTGTGCTCTCTGCTGAACCACCAAGAAATTCCACAGGGATACAAATGAGGCATATAAAGCACTCGCACCCCACCCCCCTCGCACTCCACCTGTTGTAATGTAATCATGAATCTATCCTGTGACGCCTGTGTAATACCACTTTCTCCCCTTCCCAGATATATGTCTCCAATAAACCTTTTATTAATTTTGTCTAGAGCACCACCCCCACCAAAGGAGAGGAAAAACACAGTGAGACTTTCTTCAGACTGGACCGGCTGTGAGCTAAGGTTAACTAAGTGACAGTAAAGGCCAAGTAATGATGCTGAGCCGAGAAAGCAGAGGAAGCCATGTTTCTTAGCAACAGTTTCTCCAACCGGCTACACTCAAACTCACTACACTATGCTCAAACTCATTTAAATAAATCAAATAAATTTGCTTAGTTTTTAAATGTGCAATAGCCCTATGTAACATTTTTTGTGTAGGGTCTGCCACCTGCTTGTGCCATACAGATGCTATTGCTTTGCCTAGGATGTTCCACACTATGGTTTTAAACTTGAAAATATGTATATCTTCAATTACAGCTATTTATTATTGCTATTACAGCTATTTAAGTACTTCTAAGTTAACTTGCCCTCTGTCCTGTCACCTGCTTGATGAGTTTCATGCCATGGACACTGTGAAACATATCAGGCAAAACAATAACATCTCCATGGAAATGCGCAAGTGACTAGAAAAGTTACATAGTGCAACTTTATAGTGTAAAAAGGCTCTTTAGTTAGAGTATTATAAGGTATTTAAAAGTATGTACCCATTAACTACAGTAGTAGGACGTGAGCAACTGTAGCAAAACATCAAAAAACTAGAATACGTTTACATCACCAAGATATCTGCTGTCTGTTATCATCAATATTGTCTCTGGCCTTTACATATGTGAGGCTACTACTCCCTCTAGAGTTATAACAGATTTTTATTTTTCACACACCCAACATTTTTCAACAAAATATCATATGAATTATATAGGTTACAATATAACATTACCGCTTATATTATTATTAACCATAGCTGGAAAACAATAGGCTAAAGAATAAAATATAAACTCAAAAAGTAATATGACACTCGCACAGGAAAGAAAGAAAATGACTTGGTTGACATCTACTGTCTGAAGAAGGTACTGCAGGGTGGTGTCGAATAGAAAATATATTTACAATTTGCAATGCCTGCATTAGTTTTGTTTTCTAAATGCAGGACATTCTTACAAAAATCTCAGTCTAAAAACTCGTTTGCAAAACCGTGGTAATTATAGCAAATTACAGACTAGACATATATGAGCCAATTTAACATATGGGGAACAGAACAATATGTCCAGTCTACAGCTTCTTAACAACGGCATATTGATTTTAGAAGAAAGGACAATAGAAATTACAAGAAACAAAAAACGTCTCACCGGAAGCATTTTATTGTGTGGTTGTTCCGTTCTGGATACGAGCTGCGGTAACATAGTTGCAACTTGATGCACTTGCAGCACGCTGCTGCGCATCCTTGGTCAGGGCTGTCAGGACTCTACTCACTGGAGTGGGACACGCGGAGGTTACGTTAGGTAACGTTTCAGCGTCGCACGTTTCAGAGATTGTGATAGTATTTTTCACCGAGGAGCACGAGGCACTCCTTTCATCTTTCTGTGCAAACAAGAAACATGCGTAAGATCATTTCGTTTGGACTTCATTTATTCCAACTTCTTCTACTTAATCCGTGTGTAATATCGTGATAAAATGCTCGCAAGAGAGACTGTGTGTTGGTAATAACACTGACTAAATCTTGAGGATAGACTTGGCACTTGGAGTTGTAAATTCTACTGAATGCACGCGCTAGTGCAGGGGAAAGTGGAAGACTATCCGGGGAATTTGTGAAGCTTTGTTTGTGCAGGACTCAACAAATGACGTTATACCTGGGTTTATCTGAATACTGAGGTTGGACGGGTCTTTTTCTTCATCCCCGCTCCTCTTCTGCAAATACAATGTTGATGAAGGAGTACCGCATCTGCATGCCTCTCACAGTGGAGGAGGTAAGTGAAGTTTATGTAATATTCCAGACTGTTACTCCACCTGCTTATGTCCTTGGATCGATTTATTAAGAAACTCTGCAGCACAAACACTCGATGCTTGGTTCATTTGTGTCATTGTGCCTCGTCCCGTCTTTTCGCTTGAATTAAAGGAACACGTTGAACTCTATAAGATTAATTTTACGCACATCCAACAGCAGATGGCGCTACTGTTGTCCGCCTTATGATCCTCTGTTTTGGTTTCGCAGTTTTTAAGGAATTTTAGAGACAAGAGAGTAGTAGAACTTGCTTCTTCCCCTCAAAGACAGCCAGACTTATTACTTTTTGGCATAGTAGTTTTGTTTAAGAGCATATTATAGTTTTTCATGTTTTTTCTAATAATTACTTGGTTTAACTGTGATAAGTAGTTTTACATTAGGCAGTTTGTAGGGAAAATGTTTAGAAAAGTACGAAAATACAGGAAAAAGGAACAGAATACCTCTGTTATCAACACTGAAAACAAATAAAGGTGCTGTCATTTATTTTTATTAGCCCAGCCATAACATTATAATCATTGTTATAGTCTAATAATACAATTACAGACAAGTGTTGGCCCTTAACATTATGGTTTCTTGGTAACTATTATTGAAATACATGTATGCATGTATGTATGTATGTATGTATGTCATACCTGCGGCCTGTGTCCAGTAGTAGAATTATTAAACTATAAACCTAAATTAAAATAAAATAGAATTATGTTAACTATGTCTTAGTGAAATGGATAGTTTGACCTGTTATATTTAATGTCATCATCATTATGCCATTGTAAACATACTGCTTTAGTAATCATCCATTGTTTGTACTAGATCTCTGCTGCCTAATGTGTGCATCTTTGTCCTTTTGTGTGCTGGATACTATCTGTGCCTGTGTTTTGTGTGTGTCCCTGTAATACCTTTCAAAGGGCTTTTCTCTGCTGTAGAAACATAATTCATTCCTGTGTTACATCAACCACAACTCCAAATGTTCCACCTGCACTCCTTAATGTAGTTTCACAGCCATAAAGGAGCTTTTACACACCATTTCGCTCAGTTTATGAGGAGAGGTTACCAAGGTGCTTTTGAAATGTTGGTATATTGTTAGTATAGAAGCACACATATTATGGCACCAGACACAAAACATTAAAGAGCCTTTAGTGATCAGTGCCATTTGGGAAAAATTAGCTCTGTGAAAAGGTCTTATCAGTTTTAAACATGGTCCAACTCAAAATGTAACCAAGAAAATGGCACAAACACACACATCTTTTAAAATATCAAATGTTTGACAACAAAAATAATAACATCTAGTCAAGATTGTGGCTGGAGTGTTAAGGTTAAGGTACACTTTATTGACCCCACAAGAGAAAGTTGTCCTATGCATTTGACCCATCCTTCAGGATTGCTGCTAACAACCTGTCCCATCTCCAGATTTTCACTTTGCTTGGTCAGGAGGGCTAACTTAGGTGGAGGATTACCTAAAATGTTTGCTTTGGGGGTGATGGGAGAAACTAGTGGTCAGAGGAAACCCACCCAGAAACGAGAAGACACACAAACTGTACACAGAAATGCCCCTGTCACCTGGGGATTGAACCTAGAACATTGTTGCTGTGAGGTGACACGATTTTGAGTTTGGGTTTTTCGTACAAAGCAGCGTTAAACAGAAAAGCAGTGAATTATGACAAAACGATAGATCCCACTTTCTTGCATCTTAGTTGAATCTTCCATTATTATGTTGGCCACCCCATGCAAAAATAAATCAGTTTGCCAAAGTTCTGTTCAGTGCCAGTGTTTTGTTCATAAGTGTTTCCGTCATCCATTCTTTTATATTGATCAATGAGACAGACTATTATTGATTTCTTCCGCTGTAGTGCCCTTTAGTAAACCTTTGAGTATTTTTATTGAGTTTCACTTGTGTGGTGTGTAACTTCTGCCACTGAAGGATGACTGTACACTGCACACTGAACATTGCTCAGAGGGCTGCTGGTGATATTGTTATTGTCTTTTGAAACAGCTAAAGGACGATACATTTGTTGGTAGGTACAGATATAGACCTCAGTGTGCTAACAGATGAACCTGGACTTACTGTGAGCAGTTTGTGTCTTCCCCTGAATATTTAATAGCAGGTACTACAGGTTTTGCCGGTATTTTTTTTTTTTTTTTCAGTTCTGGCATACTTCTGCTGTCCTGCTCTCTAGAAAGAAATGTATTAACAGTAGTCACTCAGTAAACTATGCGAAAATGTTCCAACTATTACTTTATTATCAGCACATAATCAAATACATTTGCACAGTGTCTGAGAACTGATATTGTTTGTGATATATTGCCGTATACGTATGATGTGTATAAAAATTGTTATCTGTTCTTACACCTAAGGTCAGAAACTATTGCGAGTGCCCTTATGATAGCTTCGGCCTTTTCAGTTTTATTCAAGTGTTTGTAAGGAGGCTGCTTGGCTACATCAGTTATGACCAGACAGATTACATTGTTGAATAGGTATCCTCAGACACACTTCTGTTACAGGAGAGTGAATCAAAGCTGTTCTTGAGACATGATCTTAAACAGTACAAAATATATGTGCTATTTTAGGTATTTATTGGGGTTTAGATGCAAAGTGATTTTTTTTATTGGCTTACAAATCTCAAGTCTATTTAAGAGTGAAAATAAATAAATTAAGAATGATCAATAGCTGACACTTCACACTTAATGCTTCAATACAACCTTTTTCTGACCATTGAACATGACCTAATTAACTTGTTGTTAGGTCAGTCCATATGAAATCAACCACCCTCCCCTATGAGCCATCTCCAATTTGACTGAAAAAATTTCTAAAAATTTCTTAAATTACCAAATGAAAGATTCTAAAATTTCAGCTCAATCCCTTCAGTCATTCCTGAGTTATGGCCTGTTGAAATTTTGGGGCCATGCCCACTTTTTCGGAAACCTTAATTTATAAGCATTTTTGAGAGACCATAACTTCATAAAAAAATACAGCGAAGAAGCTGAAAATTTGTATTATTGTAGATTCTTGGTCATAGATTCTAAATCTGTTGTCAAATATTGGGTATCTTTATTAAGGGCGGTGCTGTGGCCACAAATAATCTCCAGTTGTCTTCCCTTATGACAAGCAGTTCGTGTTTAAGACTATTAAAGGTAATTTTACCTTTCTAGCAGGTGGAAAAGTACCTAATCTTCACCAAAAATTACCCATGAGAGCTCATTTTCAAAAATTCCATATGAAATGATGGAAGTTAATAGTAGATGTACATTATTGTTTTAAACTAAACAGAATATGCCAAAGTTTCTCTGGTAAAAATTTTATCAACATGTATCAGTGCCCACATGGAGAAGTGTGAGATTGCTGTCAGAAATGGTCATTCTCTCAAATATTCAGGTTAAATAGTTAGTTTGTAAATATCTGCTTGGAGTAAATAGATCTTGGATCTCAAAAAAAATAAAAATAAAAAATTGAGATTTTGGGGGCCCACAGTGGTTGATTTCATATGGACTGACCCTATTAGTTATAGGTAAAAATAACATTCCAACTTCCAACCAACAAAATGCTAAACTTGATAATACATAATTTATACCCATTTTGAGACTAAAAAGATTATTGCCCTTATCCAAAATTAACATAAAAAATAAATAAATAAATCAGAACAGTGCATTTATAGATGATTCTAGAATATTTATAGATGAATCATTACATTTAAGTTTCATAAAGTTGCAGTGTAGATCACAGAGCATTTGTGCCTCTCTATGCCTGCACAGACCTGAGCCTCCAGTGTAAGAACTGTCCCTGCAGGCCTCCATATGTTTGTTTGTGTTGCTGTGAGCCCAAGCGCCTACAGCACCTCACGACTTCAGCAGGATCATGTTTATGTCTCAGAGTCGAGCTGCCTGCTGTGTGCTTCTCTCTCCAAGGCTGACCCAGCCCCAACATTCATATGTAGAGAAACATGCTCCCTCAGTCCAGAGTCCAGACCACCAAACACGAGCTCACAACAATCAGAGTCTAATTCAGTGGCTACTGGCACTACTAAAGATCAATATATCAAATCCATTATTTCAGTCAATAAAAAAATAAAATATTGAAAATATCATAGGTAAAACGGCATGTGGGCATTTTAAAATGGACAGTTTGTACAATTACTTTTATGGCAACCATACAGTGTTAAAATGAGACTACAATAAAACAACTACATATTGAACTACATATTGGCATTTATAAATCACTACAAGGCCTAACTAGGCCTACATTTAAACTTTTCTTTTCTTTTTTTTATTTGTTTCATTCACATAAGATGAATATAAAATAGTTATGTTTTTATACATACAGAAAGAAGTAGACTTATATATATTTTCACAAAAACTTAATGTATAATCTGTAGCAGCTGCATTTACAAGCAACTTTGATTTGATTTGATGGGCAAGATTTGCTGATTTGCTTTGTTGGTAGTATTTAAAATATGAAGTTCTACCAATTAGTTGAAATAAATATTGAAATAAATGGGTTTGTTGAGTCAGTATCCACTTCCATTGACGATTCTCACAGCTCTTTTCTGTAAAAGGAAAACTGGATTAACATAAGTTTTACACTTCCCCATACTTCATGCAATAGATCAGATATGGAACACTCAATGCATTATACAACAACAATTGTACAACAAATACAATGCACCCCTATTTAATGATTCTTTTACCTTACCACAGATATTACTTGCAATAATTTAATTTTGACACCATCTCTATGGGATTTTCATGTCAGATGTTCATCGATCATAACACCCAGAAACTTGAGCTGTGTGCCCTTTCTATTTCTAATACTGTTTTACCTATACTACTGAATTATGTTTTACTGATATTTAAGAACAATCTATTAGAATAAAAACTGTTTGTTTTTTTTTTTTAACACATTCTCTACAACGTCTAGAACATCCTTAATGTTTTGTCCTGATTAAAACAGACTGATGTCGTCTTCAAATAAAATAC